GGTTTTTCAACTTGCTTGAGTTCTCTGTAGCAATTAAAACTGTCTCCTTTGGTTTCTATGAATTTGCTCCTGGTTTGACCATACCTCTGGGTCCCCAGGCTCCTGTCAAGGATTCTCCTCCTCTGCCCATTCTTTAAATAATGATTTTTTGGGACTGTCTTTGGCCTATTTCTTTCTGTACATCATATTTTCTCTGGGCTTTTTCATACACTGTAGTAGCTTTACTGTCACCATACTCTGGTGATTTCCAAAGTCTAACTGTAGCTCAGAGCATCTCTCAGAACCTTGGCCCTATCATGCTATTTACCATATCTCTACCTGGATGCCACAGAGCTGTCTCAAACCCTGTATGTCCAAAATGATTTCTAATTTGTTTGAAGGAATCAATGCCTACTCAGTCTCTCCCGCAGAAATCTGAGGTCATCCTTCACTCTGTCCTTCATCCTTTTCATCTCACAAGCCATTATATACTGTGCATTATATTTCTTAAAGATTTATCTGTTTCCTAGCTCCAGTTCTGTCATTTATTGCTTGGACCATTAAAAAGCCTCTTAATTGGTCTCATTATTTCTATCTTGCCTTCTTCTAATCTGTCTCTAACATTGTCACCAAGGAGTGCAGACCTTTCCATGTGGCTCCCTCCAGAGAAACATTTCATTGGCTCTCCATGGTCTGTACAAGAAAATCAAAGTTCTGAGTCTTGCTGCCTAAGCCTTTCGGTAATCTGCCCTCTGTCTATCACGCCACCCTTGTCCACTTCAGTTCCTCACCTCCAACCCTGGGTTTGAATACTATTGAAAAATCACAGTCCCTAGAATGTAGCCTGTTATTCCTGCAGCCCCTTAGCCCAGTGTTTGACACACAGTATTTAGTAAACATGAAGAGGATTTCTTCTTTGCTACTGTTCATTGTGATTTGCATTCTTCACTAGGGAAAATGTCTAACATAATAAATGTATTATGGATTCTCAGATTGTGTTTGAAATGTGACTTAGTCTATTTACCTGTTTGATGAGTAAGTCTCTTCTCTGGGACCCTAACTATTGGTTAAGTTCATATGACTTCTAGAATGGTGAGCGCATTAACTCTAGCAATAAACTATTTTTAATTTCTATAAAACTATGATGAAAATTTTTTGTGAAAACAAATTTTTCATGCACTTTTTGCCTACTGATGTGAGTTTTGAGTCTTTCTGGCAGAGCAAGTTTGATCCTTCTTTATTGTGATGGTCCTTCCAGTGTTTGAGGATGGCTGTGCTCTTTTCCTTGGGTCTTCTCTTCTCCCTGCTAATATACCAAATCATATCAAGTGTTCTTCTCATCGCGTAGTATCAACTCTCTTTGCCTTTTTGAGAGCTCCTTCTTCTGGCTCCAGATTTTCTGTGTATTTATGTGTTTACCAACTTGTTCACCTCTGACAGCGTCCAGGACCACTTTCCTGATCGCTATTAAGCTTTGTTAGTGCAGACTGAGATTACATTAGATGCTTTGGCAGCAACATCACTTCATTGGCTCATATTGACTATCTGTTAAAGTCATCCCTTACTTCTACTTAAGGATGGAAACCACCCATTCCTAACATCTGTCTTGTTGCATTTTGGTTGAAAGTTGAATAATAAATCTGGTGCTAGTACAGTTATGTTTTTGTCCTAAATTTTATCCTTGTTGAATTTCATCTTGTTAAAGAAGGTCTTTTGTGAATCCTGATTCTGGTCATGTAAAATTTTCAACATTTTCTCTGGCTTTTTCTCAGTATAAGCTTATAAACTGGTGACGTTCAGTGGGGTTAGATAAAAATATCTATAAATAATAGATATTCTTTATTGAGCATTAACTATACGCTGGTCATCATAGCTTGGTATTTCCATGTGTATCCTTGGTGGTTTCATACAACACTGTGAAGTAGGCACTATTAATACCTTTATCTTACATGTGAG